AAAATGTGCGATTAACTATGGACAATCATGCGATTAAATATTTTAATCGACTGACAGCCCTAGTTATAATGTTTTTTAACGCACGTCGTCTGATTGTATAATCATATGAGCCGTTCGCTAGAGTCGGTTGATCTCCAGATTAACAGCAGCATGAGAATAACCTGCCGATGCTCCATGGCGGAGGCTCCGGTAGAAATTGCCGAGATTTGCGTTCTTTTCCCCCTTAATGTCTGACCAATGGTTGAACAGCATTTCCGTGCAGATGACTTGTGTTTCAAGTTTATAGTCCGTTTGAGTTTTGCCCTGAACGCAAACCGAACCTTCTGAAAAATGAAACAATGTCACAAACTGTCGCCTGGGCACCTGAGAAGCGGACTATTAGGTGTGAATGCGACCAAAGTATGGGTTACATAAGAGGATCCTTTAATTCAATGTTGATATAAAAAGGTTTATTATATGAGCTTTAAGACTTTGATGGTACAAATATGTGGCCTTAGCATATTTGTCTCATAGCATGCACAGAAAACAAAGCTTGAGTTGATTTAAAGATGAATAGTTCACCTTTCAGCTTAGAGGACTAAGCATTAATCTGCTGCTGCCTGGTTGGAAAGCACCACTGGTGGCTGGCGCTCCTCTGCCTCTGATAGATGGCCTAGTCTGCCTGGTGCTGTGCTCCCCATTCCTCCATATAATCACAACCCTGCGGAGAAGTGACTCTCCGTCAGCCATGTTCTCTTTCTTCATGATGATGGCTTATCAGGCTCCCGTCGTCTATCAGCTTTAATGGCAGCCTTAGCTGTTTGCGATAACACTCATTTTGTGATATTGCAGCTGAGGGACGGCACAAGGTCACCGCACACAGCACGTCTGATTCAATTGAATTACATCTTTGATTGGATTGAATTTAAAGATTACTTGTAATAAGTCTGCAATATAGCCGCAGGTGGGTCTCATTATTAATGCGTGTTTTAGTGGGGCTGAATGGTAATAAAGACACGACTAGACACGCGTCCTAGCAGACACAGGCCAGCATTTCTGCATTATGAAATCCATGAACTGTCCCACGGTGGAGGATGGGAGGTACTAATGTGCTGTATTTGCTCATTTTGAATACAGTTACATATTTTTGTAATGTAAAAGTTTGGTTGCAAAGCAGGGGTTTAGCGCAGCAATATTTTGTAACCCTAAAATGTAAACGGTGTACTGGTGGTTAACGTCCTGTTTTCTCATTTGCACCGTAGCTCATCTCTCTGCTAAACTCTGTTAACTGAGCCTGTTTAAACGTGCCTTTAATGCTATCGATTGGTTGTGCAACCATACCCGCTGTGTGGGTGTTCCTTATGTATATTTTGGTTTGTCCGAGGCTGAGTAAATATTAATTATGTATCTTTCATTCAGCTACAGTCAGGGTCTCCGGTTCAATTTTCTGAAGTGTTTCCTGCCGTTTGCATTGCTGTCTTGAGTTTTGAAATGACCAAAGTTGATTGGTGAAGCCAATTTATTAGTGCCGTGAGCTGCAGTTCATCTAAATGGCCACTAGATGCTTACTGTATTATCATTTTTCTTTTGTTGATGTAATTGGAGGGCAGGGTGTAATAGATGTATCCTTTATTATGGATATGTCATTTTGGAATATAAGTCTTGTGCCAAAATGTACTCTTCAAGTCGACACTGTTTTCAACATTCCATCGGCCATCAAGAGTAACTCAGTGTCAGAAAAAATAGTTGACTTTTAGGCTATTATAACAACTCACAGGCCTTCATCTCACACGGCTTGTAAGATACTAACCAAAACTTAATTTCTAACTCATGCCTGCTCCTCTGTGCAGTGACGCCCAGCGGCTCGTTCTCCGGCGTTCCTAAGGAGTACCAGGAGGGGGAGGCGGGCTTTGCCATCATGTTCCCCAGCATAGAGGGGGTCAACATCAAGCCCTTTCATTTTTGCGAGAAGTCCATGTCCCCAACCGCCCTGAAGGAAGCAGGTGAGAGAGGCTCACAACAATTATTCAGTAATCCTGTAAAGGTACCAAGTTCTTGTTGTTTTCAATTTCTCTCCTCTGTGTACTTTTCTTCCAGGACTTGTTGACAACCCGGAGCTGCGTGTGGTTCTGTTGTTTGTCTACGAGCCGTGTCAAAACGGAGCAGCACGCTTTCTGGTCCAAATACTGGAGCCGCTGGCCAAGAGCAATGCCCTCATTGCTGGAGGGCTGGTGGACAGTTACTTCTCTCCTCCCAGACACTGGTGAGTGACAGTCTGCCACTTAAATCCCAGCTGTTTCTTAGCCATTTTGGGAAGAATGAAGCTTTTATTACAATAACAACAATTGAAAGGGAAACAAAGTTTGACTGAATAGTTATTGAGAATTCCCTCTCATTTTATGTCCTACGTTTCTTTGAGGCTTAATTAATTATTGTATTAAACAGTGCAAATATACAATAAATACATTGTACCAGATATAGTTAAAAGGAATATAGTGATGCAGGTTACAGAGACAAAAGATCTGTTGTGTAAATTCAAACCTTACACTTTCAAAATAAGAGACACAAAAGAAAAAGGTAAAACTAAATAACAACCACCCAAAAACCAGAAGGAAATGCCTAAATTCCCACTAGAAAGCTCATCATCAGCACTTTCAATAACATTTCATCAGTACAACCATTCCTAACCATTTAAATAACTGCCAAAAGGATTTGATTGGATTTAAAGACTTTAAGTTATGATTTTACAACTTGCTGAGTTAAATTAGCAGTCTCACTTTTGTTCTGTATTCTATTTGCTATATTCTCACTCTCCTCTCAATCTGTAGCTGTTTGCAGGGTCAATACGGTGTGGCGGGCCTCGCCCTGAGTGGCCCTAAAGTGCAAGGGGCGTCTGTGCTCTTGGACCAAGAGATCACCAGCCCAAAGGCAGCCGAGGCCACCATCGGGCGGCTAAAAGCAGCCAAAATTCCCGAGAAGAACACCATTGGGTTTATGTTCTCCTGCTTGGGGAGAGGTCAAAACTTCTACAAAGACCAGGCCAACGTAGAGGCCGACGCCTTTCACAAGGTGTTCCCCAACACCCCGCTCTTCGGCCTGTTCGGAAACGGTGAGATCGGCTGCGACCGAATTGTAAAAGAAGACTACACGCTGTGCGACACTGACACGGAGAGTCTGCAGCACGAGTACAGTACAGTCATGACCCTCGTCCATGTAGGCTGACCGACCCACATCACAGAGGACCAACGGAAGGAAAACACAACCTTTAATATTCCCGTTTGCTACAGCTGTCGGTACAAGAAACATTGTGTTCAGAGTTTTACTCGCATTACCACTCAGAATATTGCTGTCACCAGTTCTGCTTGTAAAGCGGGAAATGATCCCTTTAGCCACCATGGTAATGGCATCATTTGGGAAGTCCTCTTGAGACTGTGTGTGTAAACACAGCCTCATATCTGAACTAGAGTTTCACAAAGTTCAAAGATAAAATACAACTGATGTTTCTCTTTTAGTATTAAAATGTGATGGATCACTCTAGTAAAATATGTGTATATAATTTCCTCAAATTTGACACGCATTCAAGGCATATCTTACCTTCTGTCGTCGACCTCATGGTCTGTTTGCTTTGCAGGTGAGTACAAATAGCTGTAATAGTTTTTTGATTCAGCGCAGTCACTTTTTATTCATGTGAATAATGCGGTCCCTCTTCCACACAATCAAGATGATGTTGATTTGAATTCTCTTTATTGTTATGTAGATTTTACATAATTTTTCCTTTTTCACAGTTTTATCTCACCAATGAGATGAACAGAAACGTGTTCGCCTCATGGACGATATCCATCTGCCATGGTTCTATTGGGTACAGGGACATTTGTCAGTCTTACAGTGCCTCTTTTTTTGTCCACGTCAGTTCATATCTTCTACTACCTACTTTCAGCTGTAAATGTTTGGGCTTAATAGTTACTTCCATGCCTGCATTTTTAAAGAAAAACAAGCCTCCTTAATCAGAAGGAGCGGAGAGAACGGTTGCCCTGTTGGCTGTGTAAGTTACACTGACTAGCAGAAACTCTCAATTTCACCTCAGAAAAAAAAAGCCTTGTCATTGTTTTGACGATGATGTATTTGGTTTCCTTTGCTAACGTAGTAAAAGGTATTTTTGAAATCCTGATAGTGTAGTCAGAGACTAACTATACCTAGCTGCATGTTCAGAAAGAAAAATCAACCTTTTACAGATGCCTTTGTACAAAATTGGTCTGTCAGAATCATTCATGTTTATTAATGTGTTATGTGGTGCTTTTTTCATCCCTAGGAAAAATATTCTGATTACATGAAGGTGCAATTTCTGTGTATATATACACAGTGTATGTCTGTTGGTCAGGTAGTAGCTGTTATATGTTAAGAATCAGCATTTTGATAAAGGCTGCAGCTACAATTCCAACTGTTTACTTTAACAAAATTAGAAGTCCTCTTTTTTATATTAATACACGCATCTACCCTTATAGGTTCTGATGATATTAAGGTGTATTTAAAGTTAGTGTTTTACAACGTTGTTTTGGTGTTGATGCACTTTTCTACATGTGCCAAAGCATATCTGTTCTGCTTATTCCCTTATTAAATCACTTCCAATACGTAGATGTGTGCCATTTCCATTTATTTCATTAACTCCACTGTTAAATTCCCTACAGCAGCATCTCCAGAGCCAGTCTCTGCACAATGGGCGTTACGCTTCCTTACTCGGTTGTAACTACAGGCCTACTACTGTTTTAATTTAGATCACCACTTTTCCTTATTTGCGTACACCCTGAAATGTGAGCCTCAGCCTATAAAATCTGCAGCAGCCCACGTCCAGGCGTGTTTAAATAAAGGAAGAGACGCTTGAGATTGATTGATGTGCGCTTTAACCATCGACTGGCTAATCCCGATGAATGACAAACGGTTAAGCCAATTGCTGTAAAGGCAATTTATATTCCCATAGTATCTTTATTTTGGGAAACCATAAAAAAAAACGTTCGTGACACGGAGAGGGACGACCTACCAGGCGTAAAGCTAATAAATTCATCTGTGGCGATAATCCGCTCTCAAATTGGCCTCAATCGGGAACTGGGAAAATCTATTCGCATCCTTTCTCTCTCACACAAACACACACACACACACGGCCAACATTTTTAGACTGCTATGTCGTGACCGGAGCGATGCAAATGTCACACGATTCATTGGCTGCTGTCTCCGGCACGAAAACGTCAATGTTTTGATGGCGTTTGGATGAAGATCTCTCCGCGTTGCCCGGCCGCTGCTGTGTGGAAGGACGTCGGTGGAGAGGTTTTGCTTCAGCACCTGGACAGCTTCTTACCCAGGGTTCCCCGCTGTGCTCGCCGGGGAAACCCTCGTCTGAGGAGCGGAACCTGGACCTGGATCTCTGGAGCATCCTTTCAACGCTCCCCACCAGGAGCAGGTTGCACTCTTCGTGATTTAATCAGTCTGATTAGATGCTAATATGATCTTGCCGTGTGACGATGCTTCTTGCGTTTTGCACTGAAATCCAAGCAGCAGCGCAAGTGGGAGCAGCGGAAGCAGCAGCAGCAGCGGTGGTGGTGTTCGTCCAATGCAAAAGTGCTAAGGATAGCTGCAGCCTACACACACTGCGAGCCTGCTGCTGCTTCACTTACTCTGATCGCCACCGAGGGAGACATTACTATCAGCGAGGGGGCAGCGGGAGGCGCGAGAGCCCGTCAACAATGTAAATCTCACACAGGTAGGTGCGAATAATTCATTTATGTACAGCGAGGATGTGTTGTAGTTGTGTGCAACACTGTAGTTTCGTTGCAATCTGATACCAGCAAGTAAATCAGTTCAGTTTTCGGATCACACTTAGAAATGTCTGACATGCCTCCAGTTCTGTTAAATATTGTATGGTTGACCCAAGAAAATAAATGCAATGGTGTCAAAAGTTTACATTTACAAGTTTCTTTGTTTTTGGGGAAAGTAGTTTGGTGAGTGAAGAATACATCTAGTCTGTTTTTGACGTCTAACATATTCATTTAATTTTACTTTTCAAAGTATTTATGACTTCTAAAGCTGCAAGGGTTGGGATTTTTGTTAGTCTGACATTTTCCACTTTCCTTGTCTTGTCTTCTCATGGTGTGTAAAGTGTGTGATGAAAGCAATGAGTTCCACCACATGAAACCTATTTTTCATCACCAGTTAAAAGAAACAAAGTATATGCTCTAGAGAACAATTTCCTAAAGAACTGTATCACACCAGTAGATTTAATGTTACTATATCTGTCTAACAATTGCTTAGTTTGTATGTCTTTATTTAGATTGAATTGATATTGAAATGTTGCACACACAAGGCATTAGACTAACTTTCTGGATCCCCGCCAACTGTGGCTATTGGATTTATTTATCACTTTTTTCTTCAGTTGCGATAATGACCATTTTCTTCCCAGGTTCAACATGAAAGAAGCATCTATCAGGTGAAAAGGTGAACTGCAGCAGAAAACCGGCAGAACTGAGAGGAAATCTTGTGACAAACCTCCCCTCCTCTCTCCATCAGCCAGCATCATGGCAAATGCTGAGTGAGTACAGATCCTTTATTTCTTGTCTTCCCCCCTCTCCTCATCTTCCAAACCAGCATTTATTTTTATTTCCGCACATATGGCAGCAATGGGTCAAAATGTAACATTCAAATACATGGTCAGGGTTGCAGAATGGAATGCTTTTAGGACATATCTTTAGGTTTCTTTCTTCTTCCTTTCACATTCGACTTCAGCTTTAAACATGCTTCTTTATTTCTGATCTCAACTCCTCTTCCTACCCCAATCTCCTCTCTTTCATAATTTCCCGTCTTTCTGTGGCTCCCCTTTCTACAATAATGACCTTTATTCACACAGACACTGCTACCGTTGAGGTGTCTCTGACCCTCGTCACTCTGAATGCTAAACACAGACGCACACTGAGATGCAGAAACACACTGCTCAATGCTGATCACAGAGCGTCCATTCTGCAGCCGCAAACACGGGTCACTATGTCAATCGCTCTGTGGAAGAACGTGCAGTATATTTCATAATGTTATCCGTGTTTCTTACAAATTAACACATTTCTTCAACAACTTCTCTCCTCTCCAAGTTCTCTCGAAGCTTTCCGTTTTTAAATTGTGCTCTCAAAGTGCGTGAGAACAGCTGATGCATTACGTGTGTGTGTTCTTGTGAATTGGTCGGGCCTTTCACTTAATGGTATAGTGATGTGATCTGTTTTGACCATTCAGAAGAATACCATAATCATCCTTGACACTCAAACATCATTCTCATACTTCCATATTCGTGCATGCACACACACTTATCTACGTGTGTGTGTGTGAACAAAGTAAGAGGTAAAGGAGAACACTAGAAATCTGTGTTCTTTGCTAATGATTATGCTGACGTAGCATGACTCTAATTTGTCTCGTCGTAACTATATCTGCATTTATTCTCTTGACCTAGATATATAGCCCTTAATCATTGCTCCATTTGTGCTCTTTCTGCTCGTGGTCCCATACAGAGCCCATCTCAGTGGGTCTCAGTAGCAATGTCCTATCACGCTGTGTTTAAGGTGAAATCATCATAAAACAGATGAATATATAACACTCACTTTGTTCACAGACCGTCAACACAAACGGCTTTCACTCTAGACTGATGATCAGTTAAGTATGGTGTAAAAATACATGAGAAACAAATATGGTTTTATTTCCACTTGAGGTAAAGTATTATCTCAAGGGCATTAGACTTGGGCTCACAATCCAAAAAGATTGGGAACCACTGGTTTATTCTTTGTATTTTACAAGTTTATCATATTGTTTTTTTAATCGATAATCTTAATCTGAAAAGTTACTATAACTGAAGATGTTAGATAAATGTATTTAAAAAACAAAGTACAATACTTCCCTATAGGGAATGTCACGAAGCACAAATAAGAAAATATATATATTTAATTACAGTACTTGAGAAATGTACAGTTAACTTACACGCGGTTTGCTTTTAGTCAACCAATTCCATGTTATGTTCCTTACAATATCCGAGATGTGTCACTTGACTGGAAAAATGTGTTCACATTGTGTGATTTTACATTATAACGCTATACATTTAATTGCATTTTAGGGTAGATTGTCCCTTTTTAGATCTCTCTCCCCATGTCCCTGTTAACCCTGTTGTTTATTTACTCAATGCCACTGGGAGGGGGTAGAGGTTTGATGGCTTTGCCTCTTTTCTTCAGAGGGTAACAGTTGACAAGCACCTGGGGTCTTTTCCCTGTTGAGAGCATTTTTACTACGTGTGGCCTTATATTCTGTCTAATAGGCGGTTTCAAAACTGGTACAATGTCGTTAATCAGCTACTGTCTGTAAAAAAGGAGCAATGGATTTTAAAACATTTGACCTGAAGTGTTAGCGATCTATCTGTCAATCAGTAGGTCAAATGAAAGGGGCACTCTACAGATTTTACACTTAGTTTAGTAAGTGTACTGTATAGTGGTGATCATATTTGAGTAATGCTGAAGATATTACATCTGTTATAGTATTTTCCTTATCTTTACTGCTTTACCATATATTTACAGCTCCATTATATATTATGATAATGTTGACATTTCAAACTAATCGGTCTGCAGGAAAGAGGTTATATATTACAATTGGCAGTTATTCTCTGAATTAAACATTCACAATTTAATAAGAAAAACAGCTGAATTATTAGTATAGGCTCAATATGCATCAGGCAACACTTAAAATATAAATGTGTAGAATATACTGCTACTCTCCTATTCTTGTTTTATATGCAAAAATACAGCGCATAGAAACAAAGAAACAAGTCAGTCGGTTTAACAAGTCCACAGGAATCTGCCTTTTCACTCATTCAGTCTTTCAAGACCTGTATTCCCTTAACTGTCTGCAGAAATACAAAAAGTATCTATTATTGGAAACTGTGTCTGACACAGTGTAAAAAGGTCCAAGCAAGCGTCTGTACATGTGCTCTCTTAGTCCTGCCCCACGAGGGTCTCTGTGTCTCCTGTGTATCTGTAAAGGTCGGATAAGAGACTGGTCACATTAGGGCCAGAACAACCCATTGTGCAGTCCACCAATTCATCATAGTTTCATCTGTAATATTATTAATGAGCTAATGCGCCTGGCAGACTTCATTAATATCCTCTGGCGTGGAAAACAAAAAAAGTTTCTCTGGAAGTTAAATTGGGTACTCTAGGAAATTACAAGAAGCAATCTGTAAATTCTGTAGAAGTGACAGGTGTTTTGTCCTAAAAAACATGAACATGGTGCTAAATACCAAGTTTGGCTTTAAAAAGACTGGTGGGTGAATTTACTGAGGTGCATATTGACCAGAATGCATGTGGTAGAAAAGACGAGGTGAAGAACTGTTTTTCTGCTGGTACCACTGCATGTTTTAATCTGGATGTCCCGTAGGTAAAACTTTCTTCTGCTTCATCTTTTGATGTGAAATCCATATTACGTTGTATGTGAGTCAGCAGCAAAGGCACACATTACTCACTGTCTTTACTTTCCTAGCAGCAAGAAACAGACCTTTCTCTAGTTTGTGGTGCTACAACAAACACAAGTGTGGAATGTCTTTGTGCTGTTGTTTCCCAGACATCATTATTATATCATTGTAGAATACTTTGCAGTGTTTGTTGTTCCTCCACCAGTGCACATACTAGTCTGCGATGAGTCTTTAACACTAATACACAGTGATGTCCAGCTTCTCCAAAGTTTTCCGCAGCAGCTGTTGGGAGCAGAGAACACCTGCTTTGTGTCTCCATGCTCCGGCCAAGTTTTGGGTTATGTTTTAGATCCTTAGGCGTTGTAGTCCGACAGCCTAATCTAACATGTGTGTGTTGATCTTGTGGTCCACTGAGTGTGGTTTGGGATGAAATGTGCCAGGTTGGAAATATATTTTCTTTACTTCCACAGAAAGTCTTTTTTCCAAGCTAGCATTGGGCTTTTCAAGAGGAGGTGATAAGCACCGAAACACCCATGTTTGATGTTTTGTGTGGAAATAATGGCTCATAGTTTCAGGGTTCATTTTCTTTATAGATGCATATATTTAAACTATGTCAAAACATGAAAGCAAACTATGTCAGATTTTGATCAAATCCACATTTCATGGCAGCATTTTCGACTGTACCAGCCTACCTGAAAAACACAAATCAAGTACCTAATGTACCCAAACACTGTGTTACTGCTAATGCGACTGCTATGAAGTCAATCTCATTCCAAGAATAGTAGATCCTATTTTCATGATGCAGAGTGTAGGTGGAATTTAGGATTTATGAACTGTGTCCAATTTGATTTCAAACAGGATATTAACGTACTAAGTTCCTTTTAAAGAACTCCTGTTATGCTGTTTATGTGCATGTAAATGGTCTGCAAAGGCTAAAATCCCAAAGTTCCCTCCAGAGGGAGTTTTTCTCTCACACACTGGAACCCTTTGTTTACTTCCCTGACATAATGACATCACTATGTAACAGTTGCGTTTCTAGCGTTTCAACCAACACATTGTAGGTGATAGGCTAAGGGGCGGGACATCTCTATGCTGTTGACCAATCACAACAGTGCTGGCCAGCTTACCAATCAGAGCAGACTGGGCTCTGGTCTCAGACAGAGGGTGAAAAGAGGCAGCCTGAGAGCCAATAGTATATAGATGATCCATACACAAGATACACAGTCTAGTCCTCACTAATAAACGTCATTTTTAATATTTCTTTTTGCTAACATTCGTAATAAGCAAACAAGGTCAGAGTATTTCTTTTATTTTCCTCAACACTGCTTGTATGTCTGTCTTATTGCACATAGGTCCCATGGCGACACCTCCATGTGACGGAGGAAGCACGTTCTTCAGCTCCACTGGCTCCCAGTTACTAACATGACCTTCTGCTTTGGTGCTGCTCAGTAAAGTCCCTTGAGCAACTTTTGTCACAAAATGACCTTTCCTACCTGGCCCACGACTCTACAGTCCACAATGTGTTTGTATCTGCCACCCCCAGGGAGTCCTGCTCCCCTTAATATCACTTCCCTCCTGTGGGTGCTCTTCTGCAATTGCAGTCCTTTTAGTCTTTCCATGAAATAATGTTTTTGAGAATGTTGCAATTGCCCTATTCTGTAAGATAAGAACATCGGGGATACTCAGAAAGGTCAGTATTTGTATTTAACACAGCTAAAAAATAAAGAATTTATATTTGTACTTGGATAGAAACAGTCTTTTAGTCTTTTTCATCATCATTGTTGGGACTTTAGTCATAGTCATGTTCTTCAACAAGTAATAGGAACAATATGATTACTTTTTAACATTTATCTGCCTAACAGAACAATTTGAACGCAAGTAGTTTGGAAAAAACATATAATTTTTTCTATAATATTAATCTTTGTAACATTTATTTTCAATATCAGAAGCCTTGATTCACAGCTGACTTTGAAAATGAGTGCTTTTTTATATTTCCATGCAACATTAATGTAACTTTGTCAGACAAGCCAAACAGACATTCAGTGAATCATCACATCTCAAAATGCATTTTACCCCTATTGCTTCCCATCCATGTGCTG